ATATATATATATATGCGTATGTATATATGTACATATTCATGTACATATGTACACATTACAATCATATGGGTGCCATGTACAGTTTTCTACACTACCCCCTTACCGCGTATCGTCCAAGTTACTAAGCTATTTGTATCCAGGGCCATATCTTCATCACATACCTTATTTCAAGGCATGAAAGCTCCTGCGTGTTTTCGCTTACCACGCACTGAAGCCTTGCTTTACACTCCAAGCCCTTGTAAGGTTTATCGCATACCACGCGATGAGGCCTCTCCTTAAAAACTGATAATCCACAACATCGTCCATCCTCAAAGATCGCCAGTTACTATGCATTTAGTCCCTTGTACTCCTCATACCTATAATCCGGTTCCAACAAACCGATAAAATTTGAAGTCGCCTTGATCGCTGTGTGTTTGTTTTTTGAGAAGGGGCGCTAGCCACTAAACCAAGAAACCGTAAGCCACCGAGATATCCAAACGTTAACCCACGACACCACTTGAACGCCTGTTGGCATAGTGACAGACAGCCGCTGAAAACCGAAATCCCAACAAGCATATTCGAATCAATTCTAAGTAACTTTGTAGCAGCGTAGTAATATAGTACGCATTGCACCATGGCTTGCCGTGTCCACGCTGGCCTCACCGTGGTTCGAGAAGGTCACCACGTACTTCCATGCAAACTGGCCTCCGTAGGAACCTCGTGGTCGGGTCAATTGGTCCAAATACTTTGAATAGCCTGAAACGTCAAGAGTCTAAACCAGAAGAACTCGACAACCATGTTATTTCCTATATATGCACAGCGAACTAGTGCTTGTGTGTACGTTTTGATTCACCAGTTAGAAGTTGAACCATCAAATTCATTCAACTTTGATTACCATCTTGGAACTACACTTCCGATAGCGAGGGAAATGCTGAGAGGCAAACAAGGGAATGGGTGCCAGGGGGGAGTGAATGGCAACGTGTTGACGCACTCAGCCTGTCGATTGAGGCACCACTCTTGAGCAGAGAACAACATTAGGCCTGCCTGCTCTATATATATATATATATAAAGACATATATATATATATACGCAGCAACACAGAGGCTTAGGCCAGATATGTGGCTCAGCACAGACAATTCAGTGACCCTCACTGAATTGAGAGGATGTTGGCATGCAAACAGGTCGGTACTGCCACGATCGACACCTGTCCAACAACATTGAAACCTGACAGTCTTGGTATCGCGACACCCATTACTGAACCTTTCACCAGCGAGGAATGAACTGCTCGCGGATGCCTTGAAAAATCGACTCTGCATGGAGCTCAACGCTGCCTGGGCCACAAGCATCCTGTTCTCGTGTTCCAAGAAGATGCCAAGTCTACTTTGGTTCAATTACATCCTTGGGCTCGTCCGACTTGTTTATCTTGTTTCTTCGCAATACCAATACGGGGTGAAGTCTGCCTGGAAAGCCTTCGCCTTACAAGCGACAGGCATAGTAACAATCTGTGCTTGGCCCTCTAGCACTTCAACACCAGCTCGATGGCGACAGCGACGAGCGACTGCATTTTGCAGCCGCAGGGCGAGTCGTGATGCGGCTCTCCGGAGGCAGAGTCTCGCCACACCGCATTTCCGGGCCAAACCTGATTCAAGAACTTGCCGATAAAGTCTGCAGACTGCTGTTCTTGATCGACTTACCGCTTGGCCTGTCGACCACCATTCGTTGGCGAATCTCGTCCGGATGTTCCACGGGCAGCGGCACAATGTCCTGGTTGCTTGCACAACCAAGCCTTCCTGAAAAGAACATGGTTCAGAAATTTCTGCTAAAAAGAGTACAAAAAAGTGCATGTAACGAAGCGCTGCGAATCATCTGCGCCGTCCAACTCCTCCTCCAAAGGCCAACAAAACCACGCAGAAGGCAAGAAACAAAGCGTCTTGCCTTACGAGTCCTTACGTCTTTAGTTGCTAAACCGAAACCCTCAGCCTTGAAACCCAAACCGAACCCCATACTGCTGAGCCATACTGAACCCGAAATACCAAAAGGAAACTCCACACCCTGCCAGATGCCACTGAACAACACATGCATAGCCGCGTCGCCGGCATGTCCGGCTCGGCACGACGTGCCTCGGCATAGCGCTGGGCGCTGATACGCTGCCTGGGCTTGGTGTTCAACTTGTCTTTTGTTGTTGCTGCTTTGCTCGGGCTGCCTTGTAGGGTGCGAGAGTTCTGGGGCGAGTAAAAGGTCGACAAAATTGTAAAGGTATCTTCGGACGGGCCTTGAGCCTGAAGAGCTTGATAAGCTTGGAAAGACACATGGAATCCCGAACATCCCGGTATTCTCAAGCCGACTTCGCACAAGAAGGGCCTCAGGAATCAACATGCTTGAAGCCTGAGTCGAAAGCCTACTTGTGAAGGTGTAAAGTTGTTACGCACTGCAGTGTGGACACCTGGCTTGCACACTACCACGCACCATCTCTTCTGCTTCGGACTCATCCCCGGACCCGACAAGGGGCTGCGCATCTATTTCTCTCTCGCTGGTGGCCATCTTCTGCCTGAGCACCTTATGGGGGGTTTGTGTAGATGAGGTCGTCGGACGAATTCAGAATGGATGCGGATCACAAGAAAACTCGACCTGTGTCAAGCCCCTGAACCTGCGCAACAACTCGCTGCAGGCTTCTCGAAGTGCTGCTGCCACTGACCCTTTGGCGTCATCTGGCAATCGTACCGAGGCGCATCCGCCTCTTCCAGAAGTGTCTCGGCATTTTTCCTGTAGATATCATCAGGCCGCGCTGTGACACCACGTGAAACATGCTTTGGAAATAGGGTGGCATGTCTTCTGGGCTGTCGCAGCTGTGGCTCCTTGTCTCCTCCTGCTGCTCCTGTTTCAAGTCCACGCCTGCATTAGTGCACACAAAGACATCTGCGTGGAATTGCTCATAAACTGCAAGCACGGTCATAGAAGCAAGGCTAAAGCCACTAACCTAGCTGCCACTCGTGGAATGTAAACCACCGGGAAGATTTAGTCTCGGACCACTATGCCGCGCATGATTCTGAGGCATCGTTGGTCGGTTCCGCCTGCCGTCTTGGTGGGCGTCACACTCGCATTGGCAGCGCCAGGCAGCAACAACAGCTGCAGATACAAGTCCTTCCACAGCACGTAATTCCCCAGTCCCTGCTGACGTAGGTCGTAGGTTTTACTTCTGCTACGGGCGAGTCGGCTCTCTGTGTCTATGCACTGTTGTTCCACACGACGCATCCCGGTACATCAGTCTCCTCCAACATTCTGCCGCCATCAGCCAGAAAGCTGCGAATCAAATCGGGCGCCTGATGCAGAAGAAGCTGAGCACCACTCGCTTCTACAGGTAACAGCACCCCCCAAGTCTCAGAAAAGCCCCAGAAAAATTGGCAGCCCTGGCGCCAGTATTGCCAGCAGCGCCGCTACTGCCGAAACCGCCAGCAGGAGTCGCATCGCCAGACACTCTCAGAAACCTTTGGGCGGGCAAGGTGCTTTGCATCGATCCATCAGGGAATTCCAGTTGGCAGGATCCTATTCCACAACAAGCTCATGGGGAACTCCAACTTGTCACTTCTTGTTTTGTGTCAAGCATCTGGAGAACTCCCAATTTGTAGGGGAGGGGGGTGGTCTGCATCAGTAGGAGGATCCCGTCTTGCAGAAAGCTACTAACGAATCCGCAGCCAGCTTCTTGGAGATTATATTTTGCAAGGTGGTGTTGCCTTTCAGAGCTTCCATGGCAACTTGGACTGGAACTTTTTGTCGGCTCCTCCCCTTTCTTTCTGCCGTGTGTGTGTGTGTGTGTGTTGACTTGCACGTTTCTAGTTCTGCTTCCTGTCGCACAGTCACGTCCTTTCCTTCTTGCTGTCTTGCGTTCTTTCTCTCTGCGTTCGCTCTACATGGCTGACTTTCTTCGGCTGTCACAGATTATGTGCTTCTCTCCTTTTATGTTTGTTTTTGTGGCCTGTGTGCCGTGTGTGCGCGTGTGCATGTGTGCATGTGAGCGCGTGTGCGCGTGTGCGCGTGTGC